TTTACTCTCGTCAGACAGAATTTACTCCAGAGCAAGCAGACAAAAGAAGGTCACTGCAGCAGCTAAACTCCTAAGGTAGGATTACATTTTGTGGGAAGCATGGGATAGTTACTTTGCACTGAGGGGACTTCTGCTTATCATAGGGTCACAAACAGAGCTGAAAACTGATCTTTTTTTTCCTGACAACTGACTATCAAGATCTATGACTTTGCTTCTGTGCTAGCTTTCATAAGTGTACTTGGTTTGGCCAGTTAGTTATTTCTGTCATGTTTTGTTCTTACTGACATACAGGTACTCTTATTAGATGCATAGCTTGTTTAAACTGTATAGTACAGCCTCTCTTGCATTTGTCCAAGTAATCCAGCTCAGGTCCTAGTTTTCAGAAGAGATTAATAAATTCATTGATTAAAACGAAATCAAAACAAATACATAAGCCACAAGAGAGAACAAAGAATCTTATCAGTCCTAATGTCCAGGTGTCCATGACTGTAGCCCGAGGTGAGGCAGCAGGCATTCTTGACATGGTAATTAATCAGGATGTAAAACATCAAAGTTTGTGAGCAGAAATAAAACACAGAGATGATGGAAAAGCAGAGTGGGGGGGGAAACTCATAAAAGAAGCTACAAGCTCCAAGTACATGCATCATGTAATCCCTGTCATTTTGTATCTTTGTTTAGCTGTGAAATCTGTTATAGCAACTACTAGTGGTTTCCTCAGATGAAAAGCGATGAATATAATTTTTAAGTTCCTTGACAAGTTGTCATGCAGATCTATCACAGTCGTGAGAACGGGCACAGCAGAGTATAATGGCAAGACATGTGTAGCTGACAAAACATCAACTCTCTGAAGGCATCCTAAAGTGATATACAGCAGGATAAATCTTCTGTTCAAATGAAGGCAATCCTCACTGAAATCATATCCTAAACTCATATGAATCAAAGGTCTACAATGAATGTCATGTTGTTTTCTAAGTTTGAGAATGAATGTGAGTAAGATTGTCCATTTCCTTTTTTTTATTTTCCCTCTGGAGTAAGAAATTAAGCAAATACATGGCGGGCTATAGCACTCAGCAATTGTGCTGTTTCCCCACTATTTTTGTGGATCCAAATAGTTCTTTCAAATTTTATGTGTTTTGCATCTAATACAGCAACACATTCCTCCTGCCTGCTATAACCCCCATTCACTGCTCTCCCAGCGCCTGCAGAGCCTGGGCTAGCCTGGCTCCAGCCTGGTATAGTTCACAGCTGAGTTTGGGATGTGAACTCACACAGTCTGTAATCCTTGCATCCCACAGGAGAATTAAGGATGAGGATGGATGCAGGTGTGGCTGTCAGAGAGGGGAGGAACAGTGCCAATGGGGAGCTGAGCAGAAGGAGGGCATGGGATAAGTGGGTAGCTGGTGGATGCTGCTGGGCAGCATTAGCTAATTGGGAAGGCTGACGGAATCCAAAGGGCTAAGTCAGACCTGAAGGTAAGGGTGGCATCAGGCAGCAGGAGGGAGGGCAGAGCTATGCAGAGTGCACAGTGATAGTAGGCAGTGAAGGACTTGGAGGGTATAATCCATGGAAAGCTGGGCAGAGTGGGCATGCATTGGGCTAAAGGGTAGAGCTGACAAGAGAGATAAATAGACTGGTTGGATTTTGGAGTGTTGTCAGAATTCACTCTTCCACGTGTTCTTGGCAAAGGGTGTAAATCGCTTTTCTCCATAGCCCTGGTGCAGGGAAGGCATGCTCTCCCTTACCTCCATACACCCTTCTCTCCCTGAACACACACTCAGGGAACAGACAGAAGATGACTAAATGCAATACAAGTGGTTTTCTACCTCAATGTTTTTCTTTCTGGGAGGTAGAAAGGTTGGAGTTATGATTTTAGATCTCTTCAGGCAATGCTATGCCTAGCTTAACTTCAACTAATGAAAAAGGCTATTTATCTAATAGACCTTTAATCACGAGCTCTACTTAAAAATCAATTACATGATACAACCATTATAGTTAAGCTCTAAATCTCATGTGCCTTCCTGTTATCTGAGGATTTTCCTCTGAGATAACAGAGATGATTGATACGCAGCCAGATTTTCAAATGCTCACCACAGAGTACAGGCCAGGTTTTTTTGTCCAGCTGTTTCTGTTTTGGATGCTTACAAAGCAGGTTTTCAAAGGCCTTAGCACCTACTGCGCTGTGGTTTGAAAGACTGCTTCCTCATTTGTGTGAGCAATTAAGGGTCTAGCTGTCTTGGGAACCTGACCGCAGCTCTGAGTGCTGAGATCATTTAAAAGTTTTGGCCACAAAGAATAAAGCTAGAAGGCATCTTGAGTAATTTTAGCCCAATCGCCCTAAGGCATAAAGGAGCACAGATAAACGATGGTTCAGTCCCTGGAGCACAAGTTTTCCTGATCCCTTCTAAGCCTGATAAGACTCCACACCATTTTTACATGTTCCGCTTCTCTAATGTGACTGTGTTACACTGTGCATGCAAACCACATACCAGCACATCGTTTGCAGCGCTCACAGCCAAACATCAAGCAGGTAAGCATGCAGCTAAGCAAGCCCCTACACAGCTGTAATTTGGATGGCTGGGAGACGAGGAGCGAAGGAAAAGGCTGCAAACTGGTGCAGTATTTCCCACTCTACAGCTGTCTGCCTCTACCTGACACGCAGTTAGCGGAGAAGAAACATCAAGGAAAGGTCAACAGCTGCTCAGAGCACTTTCAGGTCAGACATATACTTGGGGTTGCCAGCAATGTAATAGGAGGCAGCTAAAGAGGTCATGCTTCCATTTACCATCTCACACCGACAAGCTCTGACATTTTAACTAGGTGCTACTCAGAAAACCCATTTTCAGCACCTAATACGGTATAAATTATCTTAACTCAGTCACTCCAGAGACCTTAGGCAAACTCCCTGTATCGGGCTAGATCCCAATAGTACAATGAAACTCAGATGTGACTGGAAAGCTTTCTTATATCAATGGCATCATCCGTAAAAAAAAAAGCAGAAAAGCTGTTAGACATGGATAATACAAATCAGAAAACAGGTGTTGGCTTAGTCTGCTGAAGAAATGTCTCCGTTCATAGTGCTGGTCTTGATTTAGTTTCAATTTTTCTCCACAAGCTAATATCTTTTTCCAGTAACTCTAGTTGCATGTCCTTGTTTATGCACACTACAGACATTTCTCACCTAGAAGCCCTGTGGTAGCCTACCATAAATGGTAGTAAACCTATAACTTGTATGAATTAATAATCCAAAAGAAAATCTTAGTGTCTTTGGCTGCAGCAAGGCAAGATTTCCTGAAACTTCATTCCACGATGTTTTCTTCCACATTTCCACATTCTCTTCAAGTCCCTACAGAATATTCCACCCTTGCAGTTATTTATCACATAGCCATATGCCTTCACTCTACAGTTTAAAATCAGTCAATGAGTCAATTGGGCCAGGGAGATTTGTCCTTTCTGTTTTAACCCTGTATGGAAGCAAGGGAATCACATTCACCAGGTCATCTCATTAATAGTGTCGGGAACTCACAGCCCATTATTTGGAAAGAAAATTCTCTTGTATTTAGAGAAATTTTCATCCAAAGCTTAAGAGCTTTACTTCTGGATTTGAGGACTATCTGGCTAACTTAACATATTTGTCCTTTTGTCAAAATGTCCTGTGTTTTCCCCAAGACTTCAGCATTGACCCTCTTTGACACACAGTTTAAGGTGCATATGAGAACTCTAATTAGGTCAAGAGCCTTTCTTTGATCTCTGTCCATTTTGGGTTGTACCATTATCTATCTTCCTGCTGAATAAGTCCAGGATCAGCTGTGGTCAGAATAAATGTTCGACACGCAGACAATGTGGCAACTTGTTCTTTGATGTGCATTGCTGGCAAATACCCTGAGCTGAAGTACAGGTAGAGTTCAGCAACACCAAGTACCATTTGTGGCAAAGCTGTTCGATGTTTGGCCAAACTTGCATCAGCAATGCAGACCGCTGCCGTAGCCTTGATTTCTTTCTGCCTGATAAATGGGAGACAAACTGCCTTCTCCATCAGTGTTTTAAGGATTTCCAAGGAACCAGCATGACCTTGGATCTCCAGCACAAATTCTTGCTTTGCCTCAATCTGTGTTACTGAATGACAGAGGGTCTAGTAAGAGAGATAAGAATGATGTTTATGTTTTAATATTTCAATGGGAGAATCATGCCAAAACACCAGAGCTGCAAATAAAAGTCATAAAGGGCAGAAGGAGGAAAGTGCAGGAGCTTTTCAAAGTGTATTATTACTGTATTGCTACCTGTAGGAAAAGTGCTTCTCATTTTACCAGTAAATCACTGTCCATCAGAAACAAGAACCACTTCACAACACAGCTACCGGCACTAAAAGAAATGCTAACCCCATCTAGAAATTAAGGACACCTCCCGGGAAGGGTAAAACCAAGATGTTTTCCCAAAAGCAAATGGGGTAAGTCACCTTGATGGGAAAAGCGAACCCGCCTGAACTCAAACCAAGCCCTGGGAGAAATCGCCGGCGAGGGATGGCACGGCCACACTCGGGCGCGGGAGGGAAGGACGCGCCTCGGCGGAGGCCGCTCGGTGTCGGGGCACCCTCCCGGCCGGGAACAGGGCAGGGGCCGGTCCCGCCTCGAGCCGGCCCGGCGAGCAAC